CGTTGGTGGTGAATCAGCTGAACGGCGTGTACGAGGTTAAAGAGGAGGCCCTGAGCACCTATGTTACTATGGTAAAGGCAAAGGGGGCGTGGTTTAAGAAGGTGGAATTCATACATGTACCAAGGGAGGAGAACGCCCACACGGACGCTCTATCCAAGCTCGCCACGGCAACCGACTTCGAGGAAGATAGGCAAGTCATCGTCACCAAAGAGCATTCAGTGCGTGAATCTGTCATAGGAGCGATCACCGAGCTCGAAGAGAGTGAGAGCTGGATGTCACCCATCAGGGCATACTTGGTGCAAGGGGTCCTTCCGGAAAACGACAGGGACGCATGGCAGGTGCGGCGCAAGACCGCGCGTTGCACGATCATTGATGGCCAGATGTACAAGCGGTCGCACTCCAGCGTCTACCTAAGGTGCCTCACGGAGATAGAAGGGAAGCAGGCAATTGAAGAAGTCCATCAGGGGGCGTGTGGTATGCACGCGGGAGCGCGCAGTCTCGAGAAGGTACTGTTGAGGCAGGGGTATTACTGGCCAACCATCAGGGCGGATGCAACAAAGCACGTGGCCAGCTGCCACCAATGCCAAATACATGCCAATGACATCCACGTTCCCGCTGCGCCTATGCGTGGAAATGTGGGCGCATGGCCGTTCTCCCAATGGGGCATGGACTTGTTAGGACCATTCCCCAAGGCGCCCGGGCAGATGAAATACTTGATAGTGGCAGTTGATTACTTTTCCAAATGGATCGAAGTTGAGCCCCTGGCGTCCATTACTCAGCCGCAGGTTCGTAAGTTCACAAACAGGAACATCTTCACGCGGTTTGGGTTGCCAGAGGCCATAGTGACCGATCATGGGAAGCAGTTTGATTGCAAGCAGTTTGTGGACTTCTGTGACGAGAAGGGGGTGATCCTGTGCTTCTCATCCGTGGCTTACCCTCAGGCGAACGGGCAAGCAGAGGCTGCTAACAAAAGCATTCTACATGGGCTGCATACGAGGCTTCTGGAGGCAAAAGGCAGATGGGTTGAGGAGCTCCCGAGCGTGCTATGGGCGCACAGGACGACGTACAAGGTGGCAACAGGAGAATCTCCGTTTGCACTTACGTATGGAAGCGAGGCAGTTATCCCGGTGGAGTTGCGCATTCCAACCTTCAGAATGGCAAGCTACGAGGCGCAGGCCAACGAGGGAGAGAGGGTGCACGACCTTGACATGCTGGAAGAACGGCGCGACGTCGCGTCCCTCCGCCTAGAGGCTATGAAGCAACAAGTGGCAAGGTATTATAACAGGAAGATGCACCCTCACCAAATACAGCAGGGGAGCATGGTGTTGAAAAGGGATTTCAGGCCCAGAGCCAGTGAGGGAAAGCTAGCGCCAAAGTGGAAGGGGCCCTATCGGGTTCGCGAGGTGGTGGGGCCGGCAACGTTCAAACTGGAGCGCATGAGCGGGAAGAGCATCAAACGTACGTGGAATGCGCAGAACCTTCGTGTCTATCACAGCAAGGAAGAGGAAGAGTTAGGTGGGTGAGGCCGAGTAGCTAGGCTGGGTAGAAGGGGGCAGATTTTGAGTAAGGGGGGTGAGGCCCAAGTAGTTCCAAAAGCGCCTTCCGGTTGCGCTCTAAGATGTGAGTTGTTTTTGTCGTCAAGTCCAAAGTCCGTGAGTAGTTTTTATCTAAGTAAGTTCAAAAGCGCCCTCCCAATTGCGCCCTATGATTGTTAAGTGGTATCTACAAAAGCGCCTCTCAATTTGCGCCCTGTGATTTTTGTTTAGTTTTATCTAAGTAATTCCAAAAGCGCCCTCCCAATTGCGCCCTATGTTTGTTAAGTGGTATCTACAAAAGCGCCTTCCAATTTGCGCCCTATGATTTTCGTTCAAGTAATTCTCAAAGCGCTCTCTAAATTGCGCCCTATGTGTGATAAGCAATACCCACAAAAGCGCCCTTCAATTTGCGCCCGGATATGTAAGTAGAAGTAACTAAATCACGCCCACATAACGCGCCCTGGGGCAACGGTAGCAGCAAAGCATTAAGGCAAGAGTAATGCGCCTTGAGAGAAACAATTGCAAGAAACCAACTACTTGTTCATTAAAAAAAATATATATATAAAAAAAACAGTAAGAAACAAACTACTTGTTCATTAATGCGCCCTCACTCGACGTTGATCTCCTCATCAACCTCCTCTTCCTCCGCTTCCACCTGCGTGGCCACACCGCCTCTCCCACCACTAGGCGCATCATCATCCGCCGGTGGAGCATCTCCAGCACCCGAGGCGCCCGACTGGATTTCCATGGCCTCAACAACGTGCTCGATGAGAGCGATACCGTCAAAGGCCAACTCTGGATGGTCAGCATGGAACTTAGCCTGGAGTATCTCAACGGTGCTAATCACGACGTTGGCTTGGAGATCTTTGCCAGCATCCGATTCGGGGTAGTCATCCAAGTCCTGGTTCAGGCGCTCCACCTCGGCCTGAGGCTTCTTCAGCTCGCGCTTGTAATGCGCCCGGGACTTCTTGGTCTTCTTATGCGCCTCCTCCAAGTCGTCGACAGCCTGTTGCAGCACGTTCTTCTCATCCAGCAACGCGTCCCGCTCCCGAACGAGCGCGGCGCCCCTTTCTCGGAGCTCATGGGTCGCCTTCTCCCACTCGGCCTTATCCGCATCGGCCTGTGCCTTGACTTCTCCCTCTAGCTCAGCTCAGGCCTTGAGGTGCTCAGCCGCCAACTTGGCATCCAGATCAGACTTGGCAGCATCCAAATCCGCCCGCAGACGCTCGGCGGAGATGGCTGCATCCGTGCCCTCTCGCGCTATCGAGGCAATTTCACGCGTGGTGGCCTCGCAGAGGAGCATCATCTGAGGCGCATCGACGAAAGATAGAAAATAGTTAGTGCCCAAATATTCAAATGACAAAGGGGGCCATCAATTGGTAAAGGAAAGTAGTATGCGCCTCATTACCTGGACGCTCATGTTTGTCAGCTTCGTCCAGGGCTTGTCGGAAATCAGGCCACCCGGGTGCTCTATCACGTCGTAGTGCGCCTTGGACATTGCCATAGCCGCCGGGATATCTTTGGCTGCCCGGACGGGCACGTCCACTGGCACCTTGACTAGAGGGCGCCTGGACTGAAGGTATGGTGGAATCACCTCTCCAGTGTGCTGCCCAATCGTGGGCTCCACAAAGCTGCGGGGTAGCCCGGGCTCGCGCACGTCGGCGGACTTGCCTTTTTTCCCCGGGCCTTGCAAGACGCCCCCAGCTCTTTTACGAGAACCAGCGGAGGAGGGCGAGGGAGGCGTGCTCACCCCGCCAGTCTCTCGAGGCGTGGAGTGAGAAGCCGAGGCGGAGGAGGCCTGAGGTTCCGAAGCAGGGGAGTCACGGACGGCCGCCTCACCTTCGGGGGCGGCCGGAGTAGGCGAGGCGTCGCGCCCCCTCGAAGAAGCGCTCGCTGCGGTGGGTCTTTTCACCCTTAGCCTCGTGGGTTGCGTCCTGGCCGGGCGAGGCGCCTGATTGGCTGGAGCGGCTTGGCCGACGTTGGCGTTGCGGAGGCGGTCGAGCTTCGACTTGATCAGGTTCGTCACCGAGGTGAAGTCAGTCCCTGTACCAGGCAAAGAAACGTGTTGGAAAAATACAACACAACATTAACAAAGGCGCGTAGGCAAGGAGAGGGCGCATAGTTAGTACCATCGCCGTAGAAATCGGCGAGAACACGAGCATACTCATCCCCAGCGTCGAGATCGATAGGGTGGGCCGATATACTCTTCGCCATGTCTAGCTCAGTCTGGCTTAGGGACTCCACTTTGTTAAAAGCAAAGAGGTTCCCCAAAGACCACTCTGAACTCACAGGGCGCCCACTCTCAAAGAAGGGCACCTCGCGTGGTTTGACGAAGAAAAACGAGTCAAACCACGAGCGCCCCATCTTCCGGCAGCTGCTGATGAACCCGTACCCTAACGCTTGACGCCTTTGTAAGATCAGACAGTTGTTACTTTTGATCATTTTGAAGAAGTTTTTGAAAAGTCTAAAGGTGGGGGGCACATGATGTCTTCGACACTGGTAGCGAAAAGCAATAGTACTCAGAATAATGGAGGGAGAAAGGCGTGCGAGGGGACACGCGCAGGTCACCATGACGCCCTCAAGAACAAGCTCGATGGGGAAGCGTAGGCCGAATCGGATGAACTCTTGATACAAACCTACCCATCCCTCTCCACACAACTCGAGTTATTGGGACCAACTGGTTCTTGACATTAACCACATATTACATCAAATCAACAATGGATATGTAAATTTTGGGGCGACCTTGGTTTTGAAAAAAAACACAGCAGAACTGGACAAAGGAAACAATAACAATTAACAAATAATTGGGACTCATGGTGGCTTACGTAGAATTGAATGAGCTTGCTCAAAATTTGCAGGATCAGCCAAAGTACTTCTGCCCAGCAAAGAGCTGGTTCCTGGTAGTGCATGAAGAACTGGACCTGGGAAATGTGATAGACTAGACTATACACTCAGCATGACTATGAATTATTATGCCTTTAAACAACGAACCTGAGATAGAAGAGTTGCATCCTTGCGGATCCTTGCTCTTGGAATCAAGAATATAAGTGAATTCGACTTTGTGGCAAGTACAACAGCGATTTGCAATCTGTTATCAAGAATATAAGTCAATTACTCAACCTATCCCAACAACTCCAGTTATTAATAATAAGCGATTCTTGACGAAACACGACTACCTAAATCATGAATAATTGTTTCATACACATAGAATAATATTTTTCACCGTTTCAACTACCAATTTATTTCAATTTACCAAGTTTTTTAAATTATAATCTTTTATCTTAAATTATTAAAAAACTAACAAAAAGTATTATATCATATGATTTTTTTTCTTTTCTAAAACTGAACCCACTCTATAAGAATTCCTGGATGCGCCCTCCTCTTAGGACATAGTTTCATACGAGGTCAAAGAGTTGAAGTCACCCGACCAATCGGTATAAATACATTCAAATTTTGAAAACATATCAACACTCCGCTGTAGCATTATAACCCAATGAATTCAATGCCGGGTTGCCCAGCTTGGCGATTCCCGAGAGGGTATCCCGTGTTTAACTCCTGGCAGCGGAAACCTTTTTTCAATTTTATTTCTTTTGTCTTCTAACAACTTTTCGAACTCTTACAAGGTCTAGGCCGTCTAGCAATTAGGAGGGGCCGCTAGCGAATTAGTTAAAGTGCCTTCCAAAGTCAGAAGTTTACCTGTGATTATTTGCACTTCTCCCAGGGAAAAGAAATTAAAGCTCATCATATTCGCTCGCTACTAATCTAGCTGAGACATCTTTGATCGTTCCAGGGGTGAAGAATGTGGTTGATTCATTCTGGGATGGTCAAAGAGAGCCAATTTTAATTTGAGGCTGGAAGTGGAATGAGCATGCTCAAAATTTGCAGGATCCGAAAAAGTTCTGCCAGGCAAAGAGCTGGTCATGCTGAAAGAACTGGACTTGCGGTATGTTGGTTAAGGTACCTAAAACATAGCGTGTTCCTCAACCAGTCAAATGTAATCTCTCTCTCTCTCTCTCTTTCTTCCTGAAACAAAAACTACCACATCGGTAGTGAAATGGGTAAGGGAGTCGATGCCATGGTATAAACAAGGAAGCGAGACTGAGTTTGAAACCATGATCCTTCAGGCAGTAAGCGGGGCATGATGAGTGGGTCAGTCTCGCAAATTTGTGCGAGATGGGTGTCCAGTCCAAAGCCTGGTTACGACAATTTGGACACCCCAATTTGTACCTATCTGATCCCCAATGTCTTACAAAAAACTTGAAGTAAAAAGGAGGCCCAATAGCCCAGTTGTAATTGGGGTCCAGTCCAAACCCTGATTATTATAATTTGGGCAACCCAATTTTGTACCTATCTGATTACCCATCATTGCCTTAGAAAAGCTTGAATCCAAAGTTGAGGCCCAAAAGCCCAGTTGTGGCACTTCTGCTGCCCTCCAGTAGTGTTCGTAGATCGCCGTTTGGAGTTGATTGGCAATATTTGGAGTTTAGGAGATTGACTAAGATAAAGTGTTAAAGATGAGGGACTTCGGACTCAGCAAGTGTTGAGTATATGACAAACTTATATTTGAAGGGTTGATGGGAAAGGGGGGTGTTAAGTGTTAACACAATCAAGAAAAAGAAGAGTTAATAGGGAAACAAGATACATACGGAGGAATGAGGATTGGTTTGATTGTTGTGATTGTTTATGGAAAAAATGGTATACGTTTATTCATTTACAATTACAATGTACTGTTTTTGTTGGTTTTTAATGATACACGATGCATGGATTGTTTCTTGTTATGATATGATAAATTTAGGGATGACAATTTCGATCTGACCCGTTTTACCCGATCTGTTTGGCTTGTATCCGCCCCGCCCCGGCATGAGTATCTCTCATCGATCTGACCTGCCCCGCCTCGCCTCATTCTTGACTCGTTCTTGCCTAAATTACATGTAATATTAGTCATATTATTTAGGATTTTCCTCTTTTTACCTCATATTTTAGCTATTATAAACTTGTAAATAAGTGATAACCTTAATTTCTCCAATAATTTAACTACATTTCATCATATCATGGTGTCTTTCTTGATCTTTTAATGAAAATAATGAATATTTTTAATGTTTTTCACATAAATTAGATACTCATTGAGTCGACCTGTCCTGACCCACGCCCCGTGATAAATTACCCGACCTGCCACGAGGCGGGTATGAGTATCGAGATACCCGCCGCGGACCTGCCCATTGTCATTCCTACATAGGAACAATCATTTTAAAGGTGAGATTGTTTCCTCTTTTCCCTTAAGATTTTACATCATATAATTTGTTTTATGTTGAAAAGGATGCGATAAAGTGACATCTTTATTAAAAATAACTTCGTCCTTTTAAAGTCTAAAGATAATAAACAAATAAACCAAATATTGTAATCTTACATTGTAAAACTCCTATGTGTATTGTCCTCGTAGTAACACTAAGTATTATTATGCTTATCCTATCCAAAAATGGATTTATTAATTTAATTGCTCCTCATTCTTATCCTCACAACCACTCCATTATTAAAATTAGGCCATTTTAGGATTAACTATTACCACAATACCTAACTTTTAATTACATCCTTGCCCCCTCCATGCTTCTCTATCCATTTCTGCCAAACTTAAGTTGTCCTCCACCATACCGTTTATTTTATAGGCACCATACCGTATTTTATTGTGACATTTATGATGGTACAAGGACTTTGCGGTAGAGGTTTTCCCAGTTTGTTGCTTCATAACAAATCTCAAATTTGAAATTAACTTTTAAAATGCGTGTTATTATCTTTTACTTTTCACGGTGCAAAAATTATCAACTTCACCCTAATCTAAAATACTATAGCTCTTTTATTTTTGAATAAGAATAGAAACTAGACATATTCAATAAATCACCTCAATTAACCCGTAGAGCCAACAATAGAGAAGAAAGAATTGTAGCTTTGATCAACATCAATCATGTTTCTAATTATGGAAGATGTGAAGGAAATTGATTAAAATTTTCTTTTCCTCCAAGCAACTATGGCGCAAGATACCTTTCTTTCATCATGACAGACAATCGGTATCAAATTGGAAGCACTCGATTGTCCAACCCCGCACGACAATAATTTTCAGTTTTTTTTTCCTCTCTCAGTAGTAAAGGGGAAGCAATCCCATCAATTTTCTTTTTCTCCAAACGCCATCTCACAAGGCAAGAACATCAATCCAACCCCACAATCTTCCCTTCCCTTCCCTTCCCACCACCAACTCCCTCTTCATTTCTTTCTCGCCGGCCAACTGCCGAAACCTCTCTCTCTCTCTCTCCGTTTTTGGGTATTTTCATCATTATCACCATGGCTGCTGGATGGGCAACCGGCCGCCAGATGGGTTCCTTGCCCTCTACTCCTACTACGAAATCAGGCGGAGCTGGCGGTGATGGTGGGATGGAGTTGATCCAGAACTGCGATCTCCCTCCGCCTTCCAAGCTATTCCACGGCTCCGATCACGAGCTCGTCGTTTCCTCGATGAACCGCGTTTTCGCGATGATGGGGCGGCGAGAACAAGTAGGCGACGACGACGAGGGCGAGAAGAAATTGGAGCTCCTGAAAGCGGTCAGATTGTCGCAGACGCGGGCCAGAGAAGCCGAGAAGAGATCCGACAGCCTGGGGAAGGAGAAGGAGTGCCTGTCCAATGCCCTGTTGGGCCAGTCCTTGCAGCTGTCTGCGTATCGCCGATGGGCCAGACTGCTCGAGGCCCATATTCTCAAGCTCGAAGCAGAGCTGAAAGATGGCGCCACCAAGTCCTGCTGCAGGTGCACTAGTGGTGGGGATGATGATGGTGCAGGGGAGAGAATGCCGTGGTTGGTCGCCATTGCTTTCTGTTTTGGTGCCGGAATTGTGCTTGGTTTCGCCTACTGGTTTTGAGACAATACCCTAGTGTTACAGAAACATACATGTAAACCATTAATGAGAAGCTATTTTGCAACTTGCTTTTACTGTACATTACATATACCTCTTTAGAAATCCAGCAAAATCACTGGAGGCGAATGACGGATTGTTGAAATAACTTGACTGATTCTACAGACAATCCCTTGGTTGATTGTGACAATTTGCAATTCTGGATTAGGTTCATATTGTTCTATTTCATCTCAAGCTCAAGATTGACCAAGGGGAAACATTCTACTATCACTTATATATGGCTACATACATTTTCAGTTTGACTGAGCAAACATGCTCTGTTCTGTGATTACTTACTTCTATATATATTATGCCGACTCTGCGACTCACATTCTTAGTTCTTAATCCCTACAACACTAAATCTCCCCTGTACAAACCGCGTTACCCAGGCAATGATAAACCTACATTAGATTAGACACGATGATAACTCCCCACAATGGATGCAGCTCTCTCACATCACGATGTGGTTTGACTGGAGATGGGCATAGCACTCTTGGCTGCAACTAAAATGCTCCAAACACGCCCAGCATACATGCCTCCCACACCGGCACTCCACATGATTACAGCCATCGACCTTCTCGATCGTATAAAAGCACACAGGGCAGTTCTTGACGGCTTCCTCTTTCCCCTTGCGCCATTCCTTGAGCGACAAGTCGGGGTCTTCCTTGTACTCCTTGTACTTCTCGCACGATACTTCTGGATGGTACTCCAAGTGGCACCTCGTACATGTCTCGGCAAAGCACACCTCGCACATGAATGGTTCGCCAGCAGCAGTAGCACCCGTCTCAGCAGAATCAGCCACTGCTCGGTAGATCGAAGGGCAGTCGGGAGAAGGACAGAACCTGTAAATTCCACCACTCGAAGCTACGAACGACCTCAAAGAAGCTCTAAAAAGGTCTTCCAGCTTCTCACTGGATAAAAGAGACCTCAAATCTGTTACCCATATCGGCATCCTGCATCCTTCCTTGGCACAACATACTGGGAAACTGTCCATATTTCTCATTGCCGACTCGAACTGCTCCACTAAACAGGACTGGCAGAATAAATGTGAGCAGCCTTCGAGTCTGTAGCCATTCTCAACTTCACACAAGCATATTGGGCAGCAGCGCTCGCTGCTGCAAGTATGTTCAGTGGAGGATTGCTCACCACTGCTTCCAATCTCTCTAACCATTTCTTCCACTCTGTCCTTCACCTCTAATGTGTTGCCAGAAATGGAAATGACATGATGCCGTGTGTCCAGCGAAAATTCTGATTCCCGGAACTTCACTTTTAATCCTTTCAGGTCTGGACCAAACTTGTCTACTACTTTCTTCATCAAGTCTGGAGGTTGGCCTTCTTCGCCCTTCATGTGGATTTTGAGCTGCTTGCTTTCATGGTAGTTCAGAAGGGAATTTATCAATTTCTTCTCAGCTGCAGCAATGTCACGGGGAGAACCAAAAACTCTGACATTGAAGTTACGCCGGTCAAAGAGAATATAGGTTTGTGTCTCCTGCTGTATTGTTCGCATCAAGTTCATACCAGGTGGGGAGAATAGATGCCTTAAGACTGTTAGAGTAAGGCTGTCGTGATTTAAGATTCTTCCTCTCATCAGTTCTTCCAGTGGTCTTCTGAGCTCCACCACAGTCTTTGTAGCATTGGCAGATAGTTTTACTCTCCACGAACCATTCCCAACTTTTTCCAGTCTGTATTCCACACCTGAAACAAAAACACCCAATTTCAGTTTCGTGGCAGTAGGAAAATATATTTTGCAGTCATGTTCATTCAGTTTTATTCATCAGACTTCAGTAGAACTTTCAGAGTTATTGCAAGAGTTATAACTTGTGATTAAGCACCAAAACACCACACCTTATCACCAACTGATGTGGCAGTTCTTCCTCCATCCTACACACCTAATTTCTACCACTTTTACCAGAATTCTGTCAGCCTAGGTACATCAAAAACTATATCCTATGAACCACCATTAACTGAATGTGACACTAGGATCGTCCACGTGGATAACTCTTCAGCCCAGTTTAACAGTAATATTGACGAGTAAAAGAAAAGGAGTAGCTTACCATTCCAATGCCTGAAGCTTGCAAGCACAGAATCCAGTTGCTTCCTTATGGCATAATAAACTGATGCACAACAGGTCAATGAGCTGTGAAACAACTTTTGTTTTTGATAAGAGCTGTGAAGCAAATGCTGCTGGCATGTTATTTTCTGCCACGGAAGACAACCCGACAACACTTTCCCTTCCAGATGCTCCAAAGCTTTAGCCGCCTCCAAATGCAATCTCCCATCAAAGATAATCAACGCTTTCATATAACGATCATCTGGCTCAGGATGAGAGACTTGGACTCTGCAACAGCTAAAATTGGGATTCTTCTTAGGCATAAAGGGAGAGATCTCTCGCATAAGTGCTTCTTCACAAAAACTAGTGGAAGGAGGATCTTCCACAGGATCACCTTTCACCAAATTGAACTCCAAAATTCTCCTCTCCGTAGCAGTCCTTAATATGTCTATAATATCACCTTCATAAAGCTCTTTATCAATTCCAGTTAAAATAATACCGTCGACCTTCAGTCTGTCAGCTGCAGAGCGGATATATCTTCCTCCTATCAGTAGGTTAGAGAAGTCTTGAAGCATATAACCAACATCATCTATATGACATTTAATAAATGCAATGCCTCTACTCCACCTACGAGGCCAAGAAACTTTTGCTGTAACAGCTGGGAAAGAAAGTAGTTTATTATCTGACCCAAGGCTTGTTGGTGAAGGAACGATTTTCAGCATGGATCCACCAAATTCAACTCCATCAAGCAGACATGCCTTTTCAGCAGCTAAAGGAGAAAGGAATGTGATCCTACCCCACTTCTGCTGGTCATCGGCTTCTTGGCTGCCATAGAACTTTTGGACCGAACAAATTGTACCACATGTAGATTTCTCAAGAAACATCAAAAGTTCTTTATCATCAACCAAATCCTTTGAAAGAAATATGTCGACAGTCAGAGATCTCTTTTCAAGCTCCACATGCTTGATCTCAGCACCAGCTCCAAGAAGTGCTGCAGACGATGAAAATCCAACTCCATGGTAGAGACGTCTTTCCATGCATTCATTACGTAATGCTCTCCGCTCATACTCCACAGCTTCCTCTACAATACTACACAACTTGTCCATGTTTTCTGAAGTAGCAAATAGCTGGATCTCATTTTGATCAACGTTCACTTCAATACCGATTCGTTCATCCGAACAGGCAAGCTGGCTACATTTGACAATAGACTGCACATTGCTGTTGTACTTTCCACAAAATCGTTTGAGAAGTAACATCCCAAAGCCAGTCACTTTCTTTGATTGCAGTTTCTGACACTCCATATTATGAAAATCAAACAATGGAGGAGGGTCAAGAGTAGACAGGGACTCAAAATCAAAGGCAGTAACACAGACCAAATAATCATAAGCCGTTGACAAGAGTTCACTAAAAACAACCCAACTTGGCTTCTCAGCAAACATTTGTAGCGAACAGGATGGGTGTAGCCGGACAGTTTGCCCAGTCATTGCCACTTGATAACCCACTTGATCATATCCAGAATACATGGCAACATTTTCCACAAGAGCAGAAACTATCGCCTTTTTCAAATGTTTATCATGATCTGTAGATTTATGAGGACTCCAAAGCCAAAGTGTTGGGACAATAATGTTGAGTTCCCTCCTAAGGGATTCTTCCATTTCTTTAACAGCATCCTGGCATCGTCGCATGGATTTGGCATTGATGCTGTTATCCCAGCACCATTTACTTTTATGATCTCGGGGCAAAGCTTCCCATTCCTTAAAAACAGAGAGCAGAGTGAAGAGGTCACCACTGCTATGGCAAAACTGCAACTTAAGACAGTCAGCTTTTATCTTATCATCTTTACTGCCAACTCTACAGAATATGCTACTAGCATTAGCCATCACAGCAGCAAGAGCAAGGCCTTCTTTACCCAGGTTATGACGAAAGCAATTGAGGATGAGCTTACCAAGCCGGGGCTCAATTCCAAGTTTAACAAAATAGCGACCTTCATCTGTTAGTTCATAATACCGCCCACGACTCTGTCTGATTGCACCTAATTGGACAAGGTTCCTGATGGCCATATCAACGGCTTGATAACTAGGCGCATCAACAAAGTCAAATTCACTTATATTCTTGATTCCAAGGGCAAGGATCCTCAAGACTGCAATACCAAGATGAACTCTGCGAATCTCGGGCTCCTGATTAAAAGACATCAATTCATAGTCATGCTCAGTATACAGTCTATAACATACCCCAGGTCCAGTTCTTCCAGCACGACCAGCTCTTTGCCTGGCAGAACTTTGGCTGATCCTGCAAATTTTGAGCATACTCATTCCACTTCCAGACTCAAATCGGCTCTCCTTGACCATCCCAGAATCAACCACATACTTCACCCCTGGAATTGTCAATGATGTCTCAGCGAGATTAGTGGCAAATAAGACCTTTCTTTTCCCAGGGAAGTCCTGGAAAATACGAAACTGATCCTCAAAAGAAAGCTTCCCGTGCAATGGCAATGCAACAGCAGATGGAGCTTGGAAATTTTCACATGCCCATTCGACTTCCTGTTGAGAAGTCAGAAATGCCAGAATAGTTCCTTCTTTCTCAGATCTATGAATCTCCTTCGAGGTCTTGACAACCTCCTGCACATAAGGGGCGATAGGACCCCAAGCAGATGTGCTGGCCTCACTGTCACAAGAGATATACTTCAGGTCAACCGGGAAGCTTCTCCCTGATACATGAAACACATCACAGCCAAAAAAGTAATCCGATAGCTGGTCTGCATCAGCTGTTGCAGACATGATTACAAGCCTCAAGTCTCTTGTCTGATCAAGCAGTAAGCTTTTGATTAAAGCCAAGAGTAAATCAGTGCTCAAACTTCTTTCATGAGCCTCATCAATGACAATGCAAGAAATCCCAGGCAAATTCCTGTCATTCATAAAGTGCTGCAGCAAGCAATGGTCTGTTGCATATATAATTTTTGAACCAAACTGTTGGTTGGAGGAAAAGGTTGGATAAGCAAGAACAGAATTATTACTGTCTTTATAGCAGCCATGACATTCTCCTTTCACCCTGTCAGCAATTGAAATGGCTGCAAT